AAGTATTGTGTCGGGAAAAGTGGAGTTTAGGGTCGGCCCGGTCTCTATTTCAATTAATCCCATTTGTTATGTTGTTCACTTTACGCCGTCATTTTACGCCGCCGTGGGTTCAATTAACGGCGTAGTGAGGGTTCACTGTGTATATATATATATACAATCAACACCTCAACCCGCCAGGATTCAACCCACGCCCATGAGCCCATGATCAGACTGGGGAACGCTACCCTGGACCACCAGGATGCAAAAGCAGTCCTAGACTCTGTTATATTTCACACAAAGCCTGTTCAACGAGCTTATGGCGCTTGAACTCCTAATGGGACTACCCGATCATGTAGGTGGCCTGAGTAACGTTTTACCAAATCCGCTTCAAACGCGAGGATCCATATATATTTCAATAGCCCAATAATGCACGCGACTTTTACATACAATCAACACCTCAACCGCAGGATTCGAACCCACGGCCCACGAGCCCATGACTGTGACCGGGAACGCTACCTTCGACCACCAGGATACCAAAGCAGTCCTAGACTCTGTTATATTTCAAGGCCGGATTTAATAGACGAATATATATATATATATATATATATATATATATATATATATATATATATATATATATATATATATATATATATATATATATGCAAGTAAATCACTGCGCATGATCTAGGTATATATATGCTGATATATATATATATATATATATATATATATATATATATATATATATATATATATATATATATATATATATATATATATCTTGATAAAATCACACGGAAAAGGGAACAACGGAGATCCTTAGCTGTCTTTATTCAAGACATCTTCAGAGGCATGAATAAATAAATATATATATATATATATATATTATATAAATCAGTGTGCGTGATCCAGGTATATGCTGATAACAACAAGGAAAGAAACACGAAGTTCTAAGCGCTTTAATTCACATCTTCAGGGGTGAGTACAGACTAAGAAGAAGTACAGAACAGGGTATATATATATACAGAGGAGGGTGGAATCAAGTCCACAGAGGTCAAGTATAGGTAATGACCCTACTAATCTTCACAAAACCACCGCAGCGGTCGGTAGTCAGGTCAGAGGAAAAACTGACCAACCTTCACCTGGTTACAAATCTCTTTAATACAAAATTGTCCATTTGTACATATCATTACTGAAAGTCATGATAACAGATTCGGTATGTTTAATGAGACTAGATTCTATAATGTTCCTACTGTCAATTGAATTACAAGGTAATATTGAGGAGGCATTATCCCAGTCAATGCAATGCTTATTATCCTCAGATGAACAAACAGAGCATTGGATTCCTGGCCTGTTCTAGCACTATATTTATGTTGTTTAAGTCTAGTTACAAGATCTTTACCTGTCTGGCCTAAGTTAAAACATATTACATTCCTTGCAAGGAACCTTATAAATGCAGCCACTTGTATTGTTGGAGTTCTGATTAACATTTGTTAACAGTGCATGAATTTTAAATGCCACATTGACGTTCCAGGTTTTAGTTGTAAAGGAATTTGAGAGAAATTTTTGTGAAATGATAATACTAAGAGATTCTTATGGTCATGCCTGAACATTACTAAGAAATCTTTTAGAACTGATCCCACCTACTCCTTGACCTTATAAACTTGGAAGCAACTGGTCAGGAGTGAAGTAGCTTCAGCTCTAATCTATCAGAGTAGCTGAGGTGCCGTAGTGCAGGCACCAGTCTGGTGGCCCTCCTTGAACATTTTCAATCAACTTACAGTCCCAGCATATTTCTCGGGGACCAGACGGGATGACAGTACTCCAGATGAGGAAGCACTTCAATCTTGAAGATCGTTACGAGGGACGGACTATCCAGATATGTGAACGACCTTCGTATGAGACCCAATAATTTAGTTGCCTGATTTCCCTCGTAATTGCACGAGAATTTCAGCTCATTGTCAACATACACACCAGGTCCTTTTCACATTCATTTTCAATTAATGCAGTTTCTTCGTCTCGTTGACATATAATATGCCTCCTTACTGTTGGTCTATAGTTTTTTGAAGTGACGATCGCCCTTCTTGAGGCCCCTGGAGCTGCCGCCCCTAATTACCCCACAAGCGAATCGTGGATATATTGGAAATCAGCATGCTCAGGATATCTACAATGTGATTTTCAACAAAATCTAATTTTGGGTCCAAACTGTCGG